ATTGCCAGAATAACACTGAGGGCCTGGTTAACATTACTTTATACCTTTGGAAGATAATGTCCGCTTTGCCTATCAGTCTATGACCAATATGCAGTAAAACTATGAGTATGTATCTCGCCATCTTATTCCTTTGTCTCTTTGCTTATAGAGGCGAGGTGGAAATGTTGGGTTGGTGCCACTTTTCAACCTCAACTAGTGAGTCAATATGACATCAACGCTCACAAGTGACGGTAATAATGAAATGGACTGTTGTCTCCCACCAAGTCAGTTTTCCCAGTCGTCCAGTACTCTGAAGGACAGATTGTTCTAATTCCTCCGAAAGAAGAACCACAACACCCGGATCGGAAACGAACAGGAGCAATAATAATAGAGACATCCCATAGAGAGACGTTTGGTTGTTCTAGAACACTAACAACTCACCCTATATTCTGCTGCTCCAGTTTAATATAATGTGTACGTAACTCTCTCTTTTTCACAATGCACCATCATCATCATCATGTAGGCCATTTTCTTTTTCTCAGCCCCTTCCTTCCCCTCTTGACCCCACCTATCATGTCCTACTCCCCCGTCCCCCCCCCGGCTGTTGCACTGTCTGAGGGCCTGCTGTTTTTTTGTTTCCAGCCAAATGAAGTGTACACCACATTAGGGTCATAAAATCCTTATTGTATTCAATGCATCCAACAAAAGGAATTACAGGAGGCCCCAAACCTAGCGACTTCACAGACAGCGACCCATACTAACATGTGCGTTTAAGACCGAAAAATATCCGCAAATGAAATCATGTTCGTTGCGCATCCATCTTCTGTTTTCTTATACGAAAAGTACTTGATGTTCCTTGTGTTAGGTATACATTAGCCTTTGTTTGTTTTTTCGGCACCTAACAACTTCCGACATTTAAATGGAATATGTTCTACAATTCAAAATAACTAATAAGCCTTATGCTTTTTGAATGCATGCTTGTGAAATATAGCGATGATAGGAGAAGACATATATAGCGGAAAAGAGTTTGTCACTTCTGCAGCGGTCACTCATTTCACAAGGACGCATACATCCAGACCAATGAGACTGTCACCTGTAGCTGTTCCCCCTCGTCACCAGTGTAACATCTTCCTCCTCAATGTGCAGTCTCAGAAGCTGGTCAAACAGCGCAGCTAGCGATGGATGTGGCGAAAGTGTGCATGCAGGCGGCTGTCCAAACAATGGGAGATTTCACTTTGCTTCTCACTATGCCCACCCTCATCTCTCACCCTCTCTCTTTCCTATTCTCCCTCCCACTCTCCTAATGCAATCCTCTCTCCTCTCTCCTCCTCCCTCTCTCTCCATCCTGAATCCTGCCCCGTATCATCCGTTGTCCCCTCGCTGTGACATAACAAGAATGGGTGCTTTGTTTGAACCAGAGCCATTATGTTGTTCCACGTTACATGCACAAAACTGGGCCAAGCATCATCACGTGAGGTAATGGCGACCCAGGAGCGTGGTTAAAGCGCGTCCGAGTCATTGTGACCCCTGTCATTCAGCCTGACCTTCATAAGAAGCCATCCTGTGACGCAGTGCTCCACTTATTACAATCATTGAAATCCTCTGTATCGATTAATGCTAAAACATGTTGTAGCTGAAATAGTTGCATGTGTATGATCGATATAAAAACATTCCTGCTTTCCATTCATCTTTCATGATTAATCGGCACACTGGAGAGATTTTATACGAGGGCCTTCTCACCCTGACGGTCCATATCACAGACTGTTTCAGCACCATGCAGAGTTAAATACACCTTCATGAATATGCACACTCATGGGCTGCAACAAACGACTAATTTGATAATCTGATTAATCTATCGATTATATGAAACGAGTAATCGATTATTCGGATACGTTAAGGGTTTTTAACGTACACTATTATATCGACTGCTATCGATCCGTCCTTTAACGATGGTATTAACGGTTTCTTTTGCAAGAAATAAGTAACTAACTAAACAAATGTGAACAAACTAAACATTGCTTTTATTTTAATTAAATACATAATATTTCACATCAAAAGAAACAAGTGTTTTTGAATAACAAATACACTATTAAATTAATTGATGACAGAACTGTAACAGATAGCTGAAACTTAACAAAATAACTCAGATACCTCTAATCATTAACCTATGTTCTTCATAACTGAGTTACTCTGTGTTGCTGCTAGCATACATAAACACCTGACGTGGAAACGTTACTCGTGGACGGGGTTACCGAGCTGCTAGAAAGACAGTCGAACCTGGTGCATTCCTCCGTCTGAATGTGGTGCACTTTTGCTAAATGTTTAGACAAATTGCTCGTGTTACCGCCCTTATATGATAAACTGTTATTGCACTTTTGGTAACGAGCATTGTCCACATCGAGACGGCTAAAGTTTAACCACACCTCGGAGCGCGTTCTCTCCGCCATCTCCTGCGTGTGTGTGTAAACTGCCCCGCCCCCTCGCAAGCAGGCGGGGGAGAGATCTCTCGTCTGAATTGGGAAGATCGAAAATACATTATAGACGCATTTTGTAGTCATATTGCATATTAGAAACGGAGTTGGCGACACTAAGACTGCGATATAATGTTTATGTAGCAATAATACATATGACATATGTTTTAAATGTCTCCTGTACCCATAAAAAAGAGCGATAACTTTGGAGTTTAACAGGGTGTAGAACACATGTGATGACGTCACCAACGAATCGACGACTGAATTAGTTGCCAACTAATTTGGTAATCGATTTTAATCGATTAAGTCGATTAGTTGTTGCACCCCTAATGCACACATGTAATCTCTCTTTAGAACAAGCAACATAATATAGAATAGAAATACCGTTTTTGGATCTAAACTGTGACTTTAGGTCAATAGATAGATGGTAAAGTTGTGAATAACCACAAAAGGAGAAAGTGGCTGTTGGTTTTGTAATTGTTTGTAATACACTAGCAAAATAAATTGCACAGATTAAACCTAAATTACATATTTTCTTTATGTTGATTACGAGCATACTTTTTACATGTGATGTACATTTTAAATCATGTTTGGCAACGTGTAGAGCTGCCCCTTAGTCAACTAAACGTCAGTCGATCAAAAAAGTCTTAGTAGTTGGTCATTCATTGAATTATGTCCGGCATTAGGTCTAAAGCGTAGGATCATTGCCAGCGTGTAAAGGATGACTCCAAGATCAAAAATGTGCCTTCCATATCCTCACCATGGTAACATATCTTAGCCTGCTTATATAATAATTCTGACCTGAGAAAAAGATGGATTCTAGTTTTGATTTCATGATGGGGGGCTTAAAGCGCTGTGTCGAGAGAATAAATAAGTAAAATGTTCAGTGTGTGTCGCTGCTTGTTCCGACACGCAAGGAACATCACCGGCGCCTCTTCTAAGTACATTTACTCAAGTACTCTACTGAGGTAAAATGTTTGCTGTACGTGAACTTTACTTGAGTGTTTTCTTTAAGTGCCACTTTATACTTCTATTCCACTACGATTGGAAGGGAAATAGTTCATCTTTACTTTTCTACTACATCTATGTTACAGCTTTAGTTACTACTTTCTTTATAAATTCAGACTTTTTTTTTTTAACCTTGTAAAGAACTTTTAAAATAAGATGTTTTGATGTAGATAAAATATCCAAAATCCTATGTAAGTACAACACAAACAATGAGTGGGTTGACTATTTGTTTTACTCATTGTTTGATTCATGTGTTCATTCAAAAAAGATATTTTACACTTTCAGCTTTTAAAAATGTGAAGATGTTTTCCTTTTCATTTTTAAAATGTTTAGTTTTTTTTCCTGCAACTACTTTTACTTCTAATACTTAATGTACATGTTCCTGATCATGCTTACATTATACTGATCATCTTACTTAAGTACCATTTAATGCTGTATAATGCAGTACTATTTTTACATTGGAGTATTAGTAATTAACTTAAAGGGGACCTATCATGCAAAATGCACTTTTGTATGTCTTTTATACATAAATATTTGTCCGCGGCATGTCAGGGAACTCACAAAGTGGCAGAAAACAAAACCCTTTCTCTTTTCCTCTGTACTCACATCTCTAAAAAAAAAGGGGGGTGCTAACAAGCAGATCCAGAAATGTCGCTCCTATTACGTCATTGGCGACATCCGGCCGACGTGACACGTCTCAACCTATCATCTCCAGCACACGTGACACGTCTCAACCTATCATCTCCAGCACACGTGACACGTCCCAACCATAGAGGTCCCAACCTATCGTCTCTGTATACAGTCGCAGCTGTGTGTCTATGTATTCAGCGGGATGTCTGCTGGAGGCTTAGAGTAAAGTTGATATATATATATATATATATATATATATGAGAAAGAGCAATCAATCTGTCAATCCTTTCCGTGTCCGGGCCGGGTGAGGTTTCCCGTGTTATATATATATATATATATATAAATAAATAAATAAATAAAGGTTTGAGCTCCATACTGTTTCAGAAATAAAGCTTGAAGTGGTTAGGAGCATAACGTGGAATTTAATCACCGCAGCGTTTAGCTGAGCTTCTCCCGGTAGAAATCTCTCTCTAGCTGGGGAACGCTGCGTGACGCTACAAAGGGGCGTGGCTAGCAGTAGACATTCAATTTAAAGCAGAGTCAGCCTGTTTGCAACAGGGCTGCAAAAGAGGGGTATGAGCAGTGTGAGGCATGGCTACAATGGGTGATCTGTTTGGTATTTTAAGCAAAAACATGTCACAGACATGTTTTGTATAGGTATGACCCTACTAAATATGTTTCCAATATAGCATAATACGTCCACTTTAAGTAAAGGATCTGAATACTTCATCCACCTCTGTACAGCTAGCTCACTGCTGCCCTCCTCTGGCTAGTTTGAGTTCTGTACATTTAATTATAAGTCATAAATATAGTGCAATGATGTTTAAAAAAATACAACACTTTCAGGTGCCAAAGTATTAAAAGAAAGGTGACGCATATAATGGTTTTCCTCCATTGTGTGTTAAAACTCACCCATCCTCCCTGCTGCATGATGTAGCCTGCTTCGTCCTCCTCTAAGAAGCGCATCCCCAGCTGTGAGAGAGTTTGCAGCGACTCCCCCTCGCTCTGTAGAGCCTGGAGCAGCACAAAAGGGACGAGCACCTGGGAGAGAGGAGTAGCAGTTTAAGGGAGAGGCCATAAAGAAATGAAAGCTGTAGGGACACAAAGTTAAGAGACATTTGTAAACCTCAGGGGGACTCACCTTGCTCCAGCCTCCCTCTGTGTATGTCGAGAGATCCCGCGTTGCATCTCTAAATCTTTCGTAGTCTAGAGGCCTGAAACACACGCATACATCATCTCTGGTAAGGACTACATTTAGTGTTGAACAAATCTAAATGTACCTAGAATAAAAATAGTTATTGTTAAGCCATCTAATACTTAAGATCCTAAATTGACTTTATTGTTCACCTTCCAAAAGCTATTAAAAAAAATCCACAGCTTCTTCCAGGTTCAAATTGTATTGTTATGTTACTGGATGTTCTATGTCATTTGCATGCGTTTGTCTTGTAACGGGAATGTATGCAATGCTAAAAACGAACAAAATAATTGTATACATTTACATATCCATGAAAAGCATACAAGACCTGTTAAACTCTCATATAAGGCTGAACAATTATTAGAATGTTATCTAAACAGAAATATAAGAAGGAAAAATGTGTAGAATAAAATAAAATAAAAAGTACCATGATTATTTTAATGTTTTTTTTAAATACAAATTAGAATAATGAAGGAAAAGTTGTAGTTCCTCGAATATCATGAGTCATATCACAATTGCAATATTACTTTACATTACATGTGATTTGTTAGACGCTTTTATCCAAAGCGACTTACACACATTCAGTACTGTGGACAATCCCCACAGGAGCAACGTGTCTTGCACAGGGACACAACGACATGCTGACTGCAGTGGGACTCAAACTTGGTATCCCCTGATTCCAAGTCCAGCACTCTATCCACTGAGCCAAAGCCTCCCTGTCACTCAAAATAATGCAATTAGATTTTTTTTCCAAATTTCAAATTAATAGTTGTGCAGAAGCGTGCTACACTGACAGTTGGAAGTTGCCCAGGACAACCACAGTCTTATGTGTTGGCCCTGCAGCAACTCTACATAAGCACCGGCTGATTAACTCTCTTGCTCATGTTAACAACTTATCTTCAACTCACTTCGATTCATACAATTTGCAAACGTTTGTTGGGATTTTTATCATCTGTATAAAGTCTAAAATAATTGTGTGTGTGTGTGTGTGTGTGTGTGTGTGTGTGTGTGTGTGTATATATGTTAAGCCAATAACATCAAGCAACAACTGTCGGCCTGCAATTGAGTTAATCTCAGTACATTTAGAAATTAATCAAAACCTTTTCAATCAGTTTCAAGACAAAGTATTTTCCAATCTTTGCTAAGTTCAAACATTCATTTAAAAAGAAAACTACCTTAAGCAACAGGTTAAGAATATTGACACTAAGATTCACATTTATCCCACATGATATTAATAGTGTGAATAAAGTGTAGTAAGGAAAAGAGCAATTATTGGATAAGAAAGTGTCAGTGTAGTTGCTGAACCGACCCAGCAATTCTGTTTCTATATGAAATATATACCTTGGATTAAGTATTTCTTAGCAGTGAAGACAGGCAGTGATCATCTCAGAGCATTGTTCATCTGCACTACTTTTGTATATATTATACAATCCATCATGACAGTCAAAGAGTTGACCACTGACCTTTCGAGGAGTGTGTGTACGGCTGCTGCTAGGTGTGTGTCGAGGTCTACGGCCACCCGGTCTCCCACGGCAGCGAGGCAGTCCTCTACGGAGGTCTCTGGGACGGTCGGGTTAAACACCAGCGATGTGTGCCGGTCGAAGCCTGATGTGGAACAAGCTGCTCCACACAGAGGGGAAGGATGACTCGGATCATTTAAAGAAATGATTCACATTGCAGAAAAAAAAACGTGTGGTTTGCTCCATAAATTAAATGCACAACACATACGCTGATGGTTAGCCTGAAGTCTGGGTTACTAATGTGACTTAAGTTCTCTGAGTAGTAAATTAGTGTCTATCTGTCAATCAAATATCTCACCTTGTCCTTGCTACGCATATACAAGGAAGGGTGAGTGACTGACTCACGCTTCTGAGAGAACCGTGGTTATGTAAAGAAACCAAAGTCCTCTCTCCATGCATACATTTCATGTTTTAAATTCACAAAGATTGAACTTTGGATTCCACTACACAGGCAGACACACGGTATGAACAAATAATGGCAAAGGGAAAGACAACATGGAGTGTGTGTGTGTCCACTTACAGGCAGCGATTTCATCTTCCAGTTGTCTCAGCTCTTCTTCATGGCCTTTTGTCAATGTGCTACTCTCGCTGTCAATCAGAGCATCTCCTGAGAGAGAAAGACACAGGACATGAACCAACGGCCACAGACTCACTATTCCTAAATTCTATACAATATACAGTATATAGTACTTTAACATTTTTTTTTAAAACAAACACTAAAAGCCACATACACTTGACTAGAAATATTTCTTTCTCTTTTGTGCTTTCTATTTATTTTGAAATGTGCAAATTCTACAGCTGTATTATATCTGAAATGTTATCAAATCTATCAATCAGAATCAAATACGTGATTTATCCCAGAAGAGATTGGGTTTGTGAAAGTGGCTCCATTTTAGAAATAAACAAGTAAAATAAAAATATTTACATCAAATATATTTAAAGTTAAAAAGTTAAAGTAAAAATGTGCAATTCAAAAAAAGAAAAAAAAAAGATATTTATATTAACATAAGATATTTAAAGTAAAATAACTGACATTATTGGATTTGATTATAAATGGGATGTATATGTATTTGCTTGACTCATAAGGACAGGTTAATGATGCCTGCACACTTGGCATGACTCTAAACACAGTTTGCCAAACACAGCAGTATATGTAATGTATATGTATATATATGTATAAGTATGTATAAGTACAAGTGCTGCTGTGTTGGGAACTGTGTTTAGAGTCACTGCCATATGTGCAGTACTGCATCATTACTCGTGTCCTTGTGAGTCAAGCTGAATGAAGTATGCAATCCCATTTATAATCTAAATAATAATGTCAATTACTTGACTATTAATTATCCTTTCAATTATCACTGTGAAAGAACTTTTTAATTATTAGGGTGAAAACTAAGCGGTTTGCATGCTTACGTGCAATACTGTACTAATACTGGTGTTCTTGTGTCACATTCATAGTTAAAAAGGAGCAATGAGTTGGATATTCTTTAAAAAATAAGGTAAATACTTTGCTGATACATAAATTACGCCTTTCAATTATCAGCTGTGAAAGAATTTAAAATATTAGGGTGAAAAACTAAGCGGACAAATCTTGTTTCCAAACTCAAATGAATCTGAGGTCATAACTGAACCTTGTTTAACCAGCGAAAAGAGGCTCACTTTGAATGTTGCATGTACAAACTGAAACCGATATTCCTACACATTGTGCTTTTAAGTAAATTATTTACATGATTCAGTCTGCGCTGCTGGGGGAATGCGGAACCATGTGAGAGGTGAAACCGACACAAAGGCTGCTGCTGTGTGACCATGACTTTAAGTCACGCTAAACACATTCTGAATGTAGCTATTTAGCTTGGGAAAATCCAGCAGTCATTTGATAAAGAAGGGTGACCCTGCTGCATTACACACTCAACCCAAAGGCATTGGTTCTTTCTACTATCATGGAACTCTTTAAGAACAGCTAAACTGGGGACGAGCAGCCAATAGGGGACAAAACACGATGACCTTGAAGTATCATTCAAAAACTAACTGATGTGTTTTTCACTGTTGAAGTTACAAACTGGTGTTTGTTTGTTTTTTAACAGGAAGGAAGAGGACGCTCAGCAGAACCCTTCTCCATTCTCTCTGTGTCCCCTCACCCTATAGGAACGCCCCAAGGGCCACTGTTGGTTTTTCCGGGGCTCGGTGCTGTTTCAGCGTTCAGCCAGACAGCTAACCGGCCAACTATTCTGCTCTGGTTCAATGGCGTGTGAGTTATCCTGCAGTGATTCCACATGACAGGCAGTCAGAAATTGGACCGGGTCAAGCGGAAAGCAGGGATCAGCCACTCATCTGCCCTCCTCCGCCCATTCTGAGCACGCACACAACAATAAGGGACCAGAATGAAAGAAAACGTGTTATTTTTTACATTTGGCACTACGGTTTTCTTTAAAATAATACAACTTTTTTTTGGTTGTGCAGAGGGAATGACATGCATGGCATGAAATGCTAACATTTCTAGCCGTGATGTTTCTCTTTCTCCAATACATCATATTTGTTTTCTCATTAAAATGTCTCAAAAAGTCTTCACATATTTATAAAATAACTACCAATGTGACACATCTCCAAATGTGAGACAAAAACATCATAACTATTTGTTCAAACTCTGTTGTGTGTCATTTGTATGCTAAGCACAAATGCTACAAAATGAAAAACAGGCATGCTTCAAGCCTGGGGCACAAACTTGCAATACAAGTCAAACCAGTTTTTGCATCTCTGGACACCATATTGGAAAAGTCGAAGATGAGCTTACAGGGAACCTCACATGACTACATATACTTGTCTAAAACGCTGGAGACTCCATAACTGTCTTTTTAAAATTACACACAAGTCTCTTACAATGTGTCACAGAAGGCTAAATGGATTTAGAAAACAGGTGGCAAGCTGCCTACACACCCTGAATATTCTTTTTTGGCCATGTGCACACAACTCTATTTGTGTGCTGTGTGACTGCACAAGTGTGAGGTTTGCCTGAGATATGTGGCGCACACACTGCACAAGTGAAGACACTGTGGAGAGGTCTACAACCTTGGCAGTAGCTACACTTCAGTAATGAGAAGTGTGTCCTTTGGGGACATTGCATTTCTGCATTTTCAGACTGAATCAATACCTTAATCACACTAAACTACTTTAACAACCAAATTAGCCGCTAATCTAAAGTCTTTCTTCTCACCTTGAACTGTGTTGCGTGCCTGTGATCTATTAACAGGCAGCATTCCCAGATAGTTGAGCACAATGTACTTGGTTTCATAGTGGAAACCCTCCGGCACAGTGGCAGTGATGGAGGCAGAAGAGGTGGGGCCTGAGGTAGCCATTGAACAGACGTGGGTCAGACTCTCAGGCACATACGTTGTTACAGTCAAAGCTGGACGTCTCACCTGAGGGAAAAAGGAGCAAGGAGGAGGATAATTTACTTTTTATTTAGACAATCATGATTGAGGCTGCACAGTGAAATCTGGCTCCTATAAATAAAACATCATCAGTGTAGAAAAAACGTCCTGATGAACATCTGTTGTTGGATTGTAAAACAGCTGTTAGGTAAGATGACTGATTATAAATGTCCTACTAAGTCTATCATAGCATGATAGCACATTATCCTATGCCCTTTGTGACAGGTGGACATCACTTGCCCATCTGGCAAAGGGGTGATAAAGCTTCAATTGGTCATGTCGTTTTTGCTGCCTGCATAACTGATCATTGATAACACAGAGGAAGGTTGAACTAAGACATGCCTATCTCACACATGCAGGCTATATAACGTTACTGTACATACATCATGACACAGTCCACTTACATAACACACGTGGTGAACAGTGGGGCGTGAAAAGACCTTCAACAAAAGCCTTTACTGAACAAATGTTTCCAGTCAATGGGTCTATTTTATACTGTTACGTTTACTGTGGTTTTATAGATATTAAACCACCGTTTAAAACCTTACCGACTAAAGAAAGGATGAGTTTAAACGCTCACATTGTCCTCCAGAGGGGAGGTGACGCCATGCGGACCAAATTGTCAAGTTTGACAAATAAAAAAAACTACAACTTCCGGATTAAACTGTCAAAATAAAACCTCTTGTTGGCTAATGAGGAGTTATACCAATGTATGTGCAAATACAAATATTATAACTTGTTGAATTATTATAACACAACTAAATACTTTACGTTTGTCCTTCATGTTTTTAAAGTGACAGCATGGACTCAAAATAATAGCCAAGATATTTGCTCACTTCATGAACCAGCCATTGCTCATTAAATAATTAACTGTCTAACGTTACCGGACAAATTACATAAGAGTCCGTTACACTTAAAAAAAGCCGGGTTTTCGTTCCTTTCCCCGAAACACCTCGGCACACACGCAAGCTATAGCTAGCTTGACGTGACACGCTTTATGCGCTATTTTGGTGACGCAAAAAACTTAAATTTAACTTAAATGCAACCAAACTGGAGTCCATTTCTTACCGTCCTTGGCCAAAGGCAAACAGGTGCTGACAAACGACAAGTTGAAGGAATATGCGACACAGTCCCCAGCAGCAGCAGCTGAAGAGGCACAGCACCACTGGCAGCAGCACTAACACACGGTGTGCTTTGGAGAGAGATACAAGCTGGCGAAAGTACAGCACCAACCTTCCTGTCATACCTTTCAAAATAACACTCTCATTAGTGGCGAACGGTCCTACCATTTTTTTTAAAATAACACTGATAAGGTATGGGATTAGTTTTGTTTCATAAAAATAAAGCAACACTTTCTCAGAATAAAGAAGAAATGAAGAAAGACCTGCACCATCTTCATCCACGCTGGGCGTTGCTGTTATCACTTGCTCAGGGTCATTTCATTTGACCAAATGTCTTTACATATACATTTAATAGATTTTATTATTATCCACCTTTTAGTTTTATGTCTTTTTATTTAAAATATTCTTTGAGACTTCTTCTTCTGGTTCAAATTTCAATAAATGTAATTTGTATAATCACTCTTTTGTCTTTATTCTACATGAAAATGTTCGAGATTCCATTCAAATCTGTTGATTATTCATACATTCCTCAGGAATAGTATGTCAAGTTTGTAATGTTAAATGTGTATCATTTTCTCACAGGATATAGAATGAGACAACACAGTTTTCCATTGTGTATGAATCGGACCCGGCGCCACGAGGGGGCAAAAGGGGGCATTGCCCCCTCGGTTGTATTCTTTGCCCCCTCACTTTGAGCATCATTCATCCATCAAAAAGTACAATAAATGTCACAATTATTAAATAACTTTAAATAATTATTTTCCCCAATACACGTTACTATGTTTAGATCAGATATGTGGGCAGGCAGTCAAGCAACGTGTAAAAAAGCCTCAACACCAAGTGAGCTTGTAGTCTTAATGTTAGCGTGTGTGCTTAGCTGTCGGATGGGTGACCAAAAACGTCCCCGTTTTCCGGGCAGAGTCCCCGTTTTCGGTGGCTGGTACCCGGTTGAAACTTCCGAAAATGTTCCCGTTTTTGAACGTGCGTTTAAAGAACATAGAGCAAGGTGAAATCAAATGTTATATGTCAGTAAAAAGAGTAGCAGTGTTGTGCCTGTTCGTAGCGTTAACGTATTTCTTCTTCTACTACTTCTTCTTCTTTTTTCTTTAATAGCGAATCGCTTCGAGCATATAACGCCACCTGTTGATTTATTAAATGTTTATATTAAATCCTTGTCCTCAGACCAGTGTTTTTGAGGAACTTGAAGATCAGCTTGTTTACTTAATTTCTTGATTTACTTTCGTATATTGACTTGAAATCCATGTCCTTAATGTTATGTTGTTGCAGTGCAGTTTTCAGAGTGAGTCTTTGTCTGTTATAATCCCGGGCAGCTAAAAAATACATGATTAATTTTTCTCCCCAAATCTCCGCGCGCCCTGCCGATTGGTTGATGCGGCCCTTAGCATTCGCCTTACTGCATGGCACAAGGGCCGGGCCTGGTGAAAACAATATGACACCAACAAAAATAAGACAGACGACTACCGATGCACCACACATGGATGGTTACTTGTGTTTATTAAGGCTGCCTTATGATAGTTTTGGGCCAAAGCGGAGCCTTTACTGAGAATAAGTAATATGTGTTTGTATTAGTATCAACCGTATTGTACAATGACGGCGACATCTTAGTGACGGGATTGTGAAGCAGTTGATTTGGATTTTCTCATGGCCAGTTAGACCTTCAGAAGGACAAACCAGAGGACTTTATTTTTATTTGTAATTCTGTTGTCGGGCGCACTGTCCATTGGTGTAGTATTTGATCCAATATGTACCATTTCGGTTGGGTCTATATTTAGTCACTTTCTTGTGAAGCCAGTGTAGGCCTGATTGTTCAACATGTCATCTGAAAGATACCAGGGATTAATTTTCCGTAATCGCTGGACGGCTGGACTAGAGGTCGGCTAAATCTGTATGGAAGACGAGCCGGTTAGCAAGGGATTAGAGGAGAAGAGAAGGTCATGGTATAAGTGGGTTACGAGCCTTGTTCCATTTATAATGAGGGAAATCATTTGTTGGTCNGTGTTGTCTTTGCTGGGTTTCGCTGCTGCGAGTTTTGGTCGCACAGCGATGATACTTATATCATTGGAATCTGTGGAATCTCTGTGATATCTTATTTGTGCAGATCCGATTAAGTATAAAATATTTCTACCGTGAGTTATGTGCTAAGTGCGTTAGCACTCTTTCGCTTAGTGCTAATTCAGAGGCTCGGTGTTAGACTTGTGTTTTTTTTAAGTAAAAATGGTTCATACCGTCAGGTAGCTGAGTTTCTTCCCGTTAAGTGGGTATGACACGTTCATAGTTTGTTAGATGTTAAGAAGCCCTCAGACGCTGTTTATTGCAAGATGTTGCCGGTGCACCGGGCTTAACAGGTTAATGGGCTTCGCAATACACACTAATGTTAAAATCTGAAGAAGGCCTCTTTACCAAGCTCCAAACTAAGTGGAATATCTCAAAAAGTGTAAAAGATATCAAGAATCTGAAAACAATTTCAATAGCTGAATTTATTGTGATCATTTTAAAGTTGGAATTAAGTCTCTAGCTGAAAGTATGTGGAAAGAGTAGCATTTAGCGCACTGTGTAGGTAAAAAGGATTTGAAGGTTCCTCCCATTGAGTTACATGTTAAAAAAAGAGTTTAAAAAGCTGAATATTTCAAAAAGTATAAAATATTTTGAAAAAGTTGAAAGTTTCCCATCATGTGCTGAAAAGGCTGAATATATTTGAATGGTTTCTGTAGCTGAAAGTATGCTGAAGTTATTGAGAGCCAAACTATTTGGTTGAAATAAGAAGAAGATGAAGTTGAAGAATAAAGATTTTAAGGACTATAGTGGAATGCTGTAAACAGCATTCGCACTAATAAAGATCTGAAGAAATATAGTGGAATGCTGTTGCACAGCTGACGGTTGTGCTGGATGTGTTGGGGGGCATGTCACATCTGCCTGGGGCCCCCAGCGTGTCCTGCAGCGCCACTGTCCTTATCAATGCATTGTTGGTTTGTACGTTTTAATCTATCGTCTGACTTTACCTGTTGATATCCCCTCAGAAATATATACATGGAAATATTTATCATGAAGTTGTGGGTATGGCCTAGGCCTTTAGCCAATTTATTTCTAGTCTGAGGAAAAAACACATCATGTGGCACAACTCAAAAGTTTGAATACACTGTGTAACCCTGCATTTCCATACATGGATTAATAAAGGTCTTAACTTTGTAATCAGTTAATCGTGCCAAAAGCTTGACTAACACACCTACTGTAGATATAAAATCATCTTGATTTTAGAGTTCAAAGTATAACTGGATTACTATCAAGGCATTGTCAGTTTGTAAGTTTTAGATTTATAGTTAAACGTCTGACTTTACCTGTTGATATCACCTCAGCAACCTATGTAATAGAAATATTTGTTATAAATCTATACAGGTATGTGCTTCCTAGCCGTTTAGCGCAGTAAATTAGTATACTATACTAGTAGTAGACTAAGTATAAATCCAGCTTTAGTTCTTGCATTTCTACACTGTAAACTAACATTAACCTATGAATCTATCCATCGTATATAGCTACATATTTCTATCCACTGTTATTAAGGTGCTAAAGGCACGGATTCTCCAGGGAAAAGCATTGTACAGGTCTCCAGTGTAATGTAGAACTATTCACATTCATTCGCATCATCACTTTTAACAACTGATTCATTTAGTTGACTGTTCAAATCAAATCAAAGTTTATCTATAAAGCACATTTAAAAGCGATTTTTGTTCGGGCCAAAGTGCTGTACATGTGATAAATACTACAATCACATAAAAACACATGTTGGAGGAAATGCTCACAAACATACAGCAGAACACGAGGTCCAGCATTCAAAAGTTGTAAGAGAACGGAATATTGGAACTTGGCTATCTTGTGGAACCTACTGGACAACTGTTAAGAGACATGGACCTGATTTAAATAATCAAAAAGTATAAGGGTCAACAATGGAACAGATTAAGTGTGGAGAACAATGTGTGCCTCACCCGCTGTCATCCTCCACCTGCACCCCCACAGAGGTGAACTTGGAGGGGTCCTCTGGATCGGGGTCATCATCCGGTCCATCCACCTACAGAAGACATGCATGGTAAATCACTAATATCACCAAATGCCATTAATAAAACAAATTAACAACTGAATACATGTATTGGCTATATGATAAGAAAGATAGCAATATCCCCAGCATTTAGAAACTGCCGGATGCTATCTCGCACATGTTGGCCTATTTGATTAATTACTATTAGTTAATAGGCAATGATTAGCAAAAAAAAAAAGTGGACTTTGGTAAAAAAAAACACATGTCCCAATTGGAAAACACTAGATTGGTTTTGGGGGTTACAAAATAATGTGTGTTTTCAGGAAAAAAATGTCAGTTTGAACCAGGAAGTGACCATAATTCAACTCCCAGTGGGCCGGTGTGATACATCATGAGTTGTTTCGAAAGAGAACTAATCTATTTGAAATAGTTGAACAAAGTTCAACTTGGTCATACATTGTAGGATCAATCTGATCACAATGCAGCACATCTACAATTCAATTTACAGACCAACACCCTCTGAAATATCTATATTGAAGGTAGCAAAGGCAAGTCATTTTAACTATGAATATATGACTTGGACTTAATAGTATCCTCCAAAAAGAGGAGAGTTTATAAAATAAGTAAAATGATAGGTAAACAGTAGAGCAGATGACTCCCCACTGACATACAGACATACTGTGTAGGTAACTACTACTACAAAAGTCCATTATGTTCCTCCTCCATGTCCCTACACACCTGGATGCCTATAGAGAGACATCTGCCCTTCCTGAGTGCTTCTTTCCTGTACATATCCCGGTGGTCTTCTACTGGCCCCCTGGTCAGGATGGTGAGGGTGGGAGTGTTCACTGTCATGGTGCTGTTAATGACATGCTGGCTGGCTGGTCCATGGACCTACGTTGATGAAAACACACATTAGGTGATAGAATATTCACAGAAGCTGTTTGTGATTGGCTCTCACAGGGACCTACCTGTGCATTGGCAGCCTCTATAGCAGCAGTCAGGGCCTTCATGCTGTCAATGCTCTCTGTGGAGTTGCTGAGCCCTGATTGGATGGTCATGTCACCTCTGGGTCCCTCCTCTTCCATGTATGCATCCTGGTGGATTTTTTGAAAACATATAAAAAGTATAATATTGCTTTAAAGACGTATTAGAATGGTGATTAATAAGACATATTATAATAATGTATTAATATATAATGTAAAAAAATCAGGAATCCTTAAACCCTTGTCTCAATGTCTACAGTCTTTTGTACGCTGGTTTTAGTTAGATGCCTGAAATAAGAACACAAGCTTAACAGACTTTCACATATTTCTCTGTGGAATACAATTTATGAATGAAAAACACAAATAAAATAAGTTACATTAATTTGTTATTGGTTGTGGTAGGTTATTGGTTATGTTCGCATGCTTATTTGATTAAATCCACTTGTCTAAGATGACAACAGAGACTTTCGACCCAAAACCAGCTGTTGACTTGTAGATGCAAGCAGCTAATCGCAGACTCAACCAGAGAGAAAGTAGTAGGCCTACATCATCACCATGTCTGACAGAGAGGAAGACAGTGAGGAGAACAGCCAGGAGGGTAGAGATGACAGCTTGTAGGATTACTGGTCGTGCTAGTGTGGTAGTGCCGTGTGTCTGGCACATAAAGTCAAGACCCCCTCAAAAGTTACGGTTTATTTCATTTTAAGGATGAGCACCAAGCAACATCTCCAGGTGCTCCTTTGAGAACCAGGGCAAAACAGTTATTTGCACCCCTGTTTATAGCCTAACGTCAGCTTTTTACTTCTGTAGATTGCATTTGTGATTCAAAAATCATAAAGTGTTTCTAATATGTGGAGATCATCCTGCTGAAGAAAACGTGTAAGTATCATTAATGTGTGTTGGACAAGGACCCTTTTTTCTGCAAAATCCAACAGAAAAATCCATTAGCTTTTTGTTGAGGTACTCCTTGTGAAGCTAACTTCCGGTTTGCTTCCAATAGTACGTCATCCCTGCAACACTCTAGACCCTCAAATGTGATTCAAGTCTGGTCTCTGCTTTTAGTGCTGTGAACATCTCAGGCCCATTCATTCAGGACATGGTCAAACCATACCACATGACCACTAAGCTCTGCTGCTGCCAATGAGCTCACTGCTCCCTCCCAGCATTGGGTTCTTCAGCCACTGTCCTTAAGTCTCAACTGTCTGCTCTACAAACCCTATACATTCTCCATCTACACTAAAAACAGCTCAGACTCAAGCTCACGCTCAATGTTGCACTTGAAGTAGACCAGCCTTTTTGCTGAAGTTGATGTTCCTACATGCCTTCTGCTCTCTTTGGGTAGTACTGTGATGTATTTATAGTGTTTTTGTGTTGGGATGCATCACAGACTGGGTAAAGAACAGATTGAGAAGACATTAGAAGCATGGGGGGACTTCAACAAAAGCCATTCTGTGTGGTATTATTATTTATTTATGCATCCATCTTTTTATTTTGTAGGCTAAGACCTCTTGTTTGTGTCTGTGTTAGCATTTGTTTTGTTGTCAACCTCAAAGTGTCAAAGCCACTGTGGGTAAAATAAATAAAACATGAGACCTGAAGCAATTTAAAGTTGTATATACTATAAATACTGTTCAACAGTTAAATACTGTCAGCAGACTATATGTGCCTCGTTCATAGAGGTACTTCAATTTCAAATTGTCCTTTTTATGTCAGAAAGTGGAATATGTTGTCGAACACAAGAAAGTGTCAGTGGTTACATCTTAGGCTTTTCACAGACATTTAAGGAGTCTAAAGGACAGGTTTAATGTATCTCTCTCGAAAAGTGAACAATGGGACTAATATCAACTGTTGAGATCTTCATAGTATGTTGAAAACAAAATTTAATTATAATCAAGTATAATAAATTATATTCTTGTATAACTCACAATGAAAATGTTTCCTATGTTATGTTTTTCTATATTTACAGTATAAACAAAGTGGTTTGTTAAGTTGAGTGTAAGGCCTATAATGATTTATGGGTATCACTGATAAGGGAGAAGGCAGTTTCTTCCCTCTCCTCTCACAGCAGTACACAGGGAGGGGGGCTCCGGACTTAAGGAGAAATACATCGAGGCCTCAAAAAGGTGGTTATGTCATAGCCGAGAATAATATTTTGCAAGTCCTGCAGGGGTCATGTCCTTTTTACACAAACATGGGAAGGTGTGTCTTATGCCATAGCCAATAGAATATGTCTGGTCATGTCCAGTCCTGTACATCAGAGGCCATGCCCAGTTTTCACAAATATGGGTATAGAGGAGGTGTCTTTAGGTTTCTATATCCTGTTGTTGAGCATAAAGACATTGGCGGAGAGGGAGCAAGCTGAGAGAGGGGGGGAGGGGGGGGTGAAAGAGCTGGGTTTTTGCTCTCGGTAAGGTTCTCTCTAACTTGGTAACTATTGCTCAAATCTCTGTGTATTGAATGCTGAGGGAATGGTTTAGATGAAAGTTTTGAACGAAATTCTTAAACCAATCATTCTTAAATGTGTTGGAATTCTTAAACCAATCATTCTTAAATGTGTTGGAATTCTTAAACCTACCATTCTTAAATGGGCTGGAATTCTTAAACCTACCATTCTTAAAATTGTTGAATTCTTGACCTACATTCCTTTAAATTGTGTTGGGATTTTTAACTACCATCCTTAACATGTGTTGGGATTTTTTTAAACCTACCATTTTAATGTGTTGTGGAATTCTTAAACTACATTCTTAATGTGTTGGAATTTTACCGACCATTGCTTAAATGTGTGGGTATTTAAACCTACACTTCTTTAATGTGTTGGATTTTTAACCTACTTCTTAAATGTGTTGATTTTTAA